AAAATGGTCATTATTAAGTGGCGTATGAGATGATTTTATCTGTTGATAGCCGACATCAAAAACAGGAGGTCCCCAATTTCACTGTATATTTCATTTTTTGTGTGTACATTATATTTACGTCAATTGTGAATCAATAATTATGTAAAGAAAAAATTCCATAGTTGATGAAGTTCAGAGTGTAACTACCAACGTAACATAGCGCACTGAATACCAACGTAAAATAGCGGCTTAACGCTGCTATGTTTTTTATGGTGAGTTTAGAGAACCGGAGACCCTTTTTACTGGAAAAGAGGCATTCCACCTTAGTCCACCCATATCCTATTAAAAAAAAACTAGTATTTTGACTATTTGAGCTTGTGATATATACCTTAATTTACACAATAGGGGCAAATATTAGACTTATACTAATATTATTAAAGGTGACTTCAAAAATTTAAAAAGAATAAAATTATATCCACCCATGTAATAACTTTTTGAAATCCACGCTTACTACTTCTTTATAATGTGTCTTAGCAATTAGCAATTCAAATAATTTTATTCTATTTAGTTCTTTGATGTCGGCTTTTACTTTTCATTAAAAAAAATAATTTTGTAAAAAAAAACAATATCGGTCTTGCGGCTTAGTTAGTAAAAGTGAAACCATGCTTACAATGCAATTAGTCATGGTGTCGTTAGCATCGCTAGAGGCAGACATCTTTAATTTAGCCGTATAATATCTTTTTTATGTAAGGTGTTAGGCTATTAACTAATTAAATGTTATTCTTGACTTTCACAATTAAATAATGTTGAAAGCACGTTTTGTACACTTTAGTTCCGTCCTCAAATACTTTTTTTAAAAACATTTTATTATATGGCAAGGAAAAATTAACGTAACAAAAAATATTATGAAAATGTTGAGAAAAGGCAAACTTTCCGGCAAACTGAAAAATATGCCTGTGGTCTATATTCAGCAATGGATTTTTTATACACTGTAGTGGTAATGGGTCATCATCATTACAGCCCTTCACCAATCCACTGCTGAACATAGGCCTCCCCCAAGGAATGCTGTGAAGCAGGGTCTTGAGCCACCTGCATCCATCGACTTCCTGCATGACATACCAGACTTACCCATTGCCGTTTCAGCTTAATTGGGCTATGTCGGTCACTCTGGTTCTACTGCGGATATCTTCATATCTAAGTTTATCACGCAGAGAAACCCCGGGCATAGCCCTCTTCATAGCTCACTGAGCGATCTTGAGCTATCTCATACGGCCAGCAGTGAAGGAAAACGTCCCAGATCCATAAGTCATCACCGGCAACACGCACTGGTTGTACAATCTTGTTTTCAAGTTTTGAGGTATACTTGATGAGAAGATGTGTCGTAATCTCCCGAACGCTGTCCAGCAGAGTTGAATCCGTCGATTGACTTCTCGGTTAAAGTTGTACTTACCTAGTCAGATTATTTATTTCAGGTAAACATACTCGTCAATAATTTCGACGTTAATGCTCCTAACAACTACCGGCATAGGTGTGACATCCATCAAACAAAGATATTTGTTTTGTCCATGTTCATCTTAAGACCTATTCTTTGGGAGGCACTATTGAGGTCATTGAGCATAGTGCTTAGGTCCTCAACCGATTCTGCCATAAGGACAATTTTTTTATTAGTGAGTTCGCGTTATATTCGATATTCTCATTATCAACGAAGCCCACATATTATTGTGACGTACAAACTACGGAAACCTACCTCTACATTGTACACGGCCCGACACGCACTTGGCCAGTTTTGTTAGCTTGGTATGTATCTATGCAACTGGAGTTTTGAGTGTAATTTTCATGCCCTTCAAAACGTCGGATTGATTTGAAACTTCGCACACTTATCAAGGACTGATGACATTGCAATAATTTAAATATTTTGTTCCATTAGCCTTGCCAGGATCCTCAGGATTTGCGAATAATTCATTAAACATCTACATTTTCTACCAGTTCAATCTACTGTAAACCGTGTAAAAGACTTCGTCCCAAAAAAAATACGCTTTTGTCGCACTAAAAAGCCGCACTAAAAAATAGAAAATAAATAATAGTTTAGAAAACTTAAAAACAACACGCTTTTGTAGATAACCGAACTAAAAAGTAGAAAATAATTTTCAATTAGTTTAAAATAAGAAAAAATTTTTTTAATAGGATTGGGTGACAAACGAGCACACAATCCACCTGATGGTAAGTGGTTACTGTGACCCATAGACATCTATATCTATCCTCAATAAAGGTTCAAGATGCAGATGCGTTGTCACCCGTGAGGACTAAGATGGAATGCTTCTTTGCCAGTAAAAAGGGGTCTACGGTTCTCTACACTCACCATATCAAACACAGCAGCGTTAAGCTGCTATTTTACGCTGGTTTTCTGTGAGAGCGTGGTCCTTCCCCGGTCAGTGAATAAAATAAAAAAACCATTTTATTGTAAAAAAGCGTTTGTAGTCTGGTTCTGTACTCGGATAGCCATTGTAGCCCTACTGTACAAACACTTTAGCACTTCAATATGCCGACAGTCAACTTGGCACCACTGAATGTAAGGCAGTCCACATAAGCAAGACTTAGTGGCAGATTGTACTCCTCGGTCTTCTATACAATTTTCCGAAGGGTATATATGTGGTCTATGGTGCTAAAGCCTTTTCGGAAACCGACTTGTTCGGGAGGCTGGAATTCGTCGAGTCTACGTTGGGACGATTCGTAATGTTTCTCGAAAACAGCACGTAGCCACGGTGCAGAAAGGAAATCGGTCTGTAATTCTTCAAAAAAGTGTTGTCGCCTTTTTTGAAAACAAAACCACCGCACTTATCCTTCACGCCTCTGGTGTAGTACCACCATGGAGAACGGAATTACAGAGCTTCTGAAGGACTTCAAGTACCGGTTTTCCACCCGCTTTCAGTAGCTCCGCTGTAATCCCATCCTCGCCTGGGGACTTGCCGTTTTCAAGGTGCTGGAGAGCCATTCTAATCTCGCTCAGACTGACGTCCGGGATATCATCGGAATAATGTCGGATAAGACTCGCTCTTGGATCGTTGCTCACACTTGCATGCGGCTCCAACGATGACGTGTACAGCTGCCCATAGAACCTCTCAATCTCACTCAAAATCTCAGGTGCCCCGGAAACGATGCTGCCACATTCGGTCTTCAGCTTTGACAGTTGGCTCTTTCTGGCAGACAGATCCCTGGCAAAGACTTTGGAGCCTTGGTTCCGCTCGATCGCTTCTTCAATACGAGCTGTATTGAAGTTGCGTAAGTCCCGCCGCATGCATTTGGAGATGTCTGTTCAGTTGCCTGTATGCTGTCAAATCTGTTGAAGAATGTAGCTTCATCTCCCGTCTAACAGCCATGAGATTAAGAGTGTGATCCGACGTCCGGGATATCATAGGAATAGTGTCACATAATAACAGTTTCCACGAGCTTGTCATTCATATCCTCCATTGCATTGTAGTCTTCAGTCATTAGAGGTGACCTCTCCAACTTAACGTTTAGGTTAAGACTGTCTCTCACCATTCGGTGATCGCTGCCAGTTTTCACCTTCGCGATCAATGAGACATCACTGAACAGTGGCCATCTTCTAGTCGTCATAATGAAATCAATCTCATTTTTTATCGAACCCTCGGGGTTCGACCAGGTTCAATTCCTGTGGGGCCGCTTCTGAAAGAAATAGATCATCATAAAGATCCATACCTCTTTGGTTATGGGTAGTTTATTATTATTTATTATTTTAAAAAAATGTTACTTTCACACTAGAATTTGATCCTATATCGTGAGGCAGTTTACGTAGATAAATTTTACAAGGACCGAAAACATTCAGACCCGGAAGAATCATTTATAGGTCATATTACAAAGACTTGTTCCGTGCGGGATTCGAATCCGCGGCCCTTAGCGCTGCTGCCGTCAAAATTATACCGAACATAGGGGAGAAAGTAAAAAATAGTTTGATACAGTATTCCAGCTTTCAAGCACACTATAAACTTTGACAAGTTATTTAATATAAATGTAAATAAAAAAACCAAACAAACGAAGCGCAAATATAACCTGTGAATTAAGATGCTTAATCGAAAAGCAAAAAAAATCGTCGCTTATATTAATAAATAAATAAACAATCGGTAATGTGAGAGCGCTATGATAGCGCTTCTCTGTAGTATATAATATAGAGATGATGATATTTTCCTAAAATACAACGGCCTACGTTGAATGGGTGGGATAACCTTAAAAACTTATTCATTCATTCATTCATTACATAGGCCTTTTTCACATATTGCTTTACATATTGCACATGGCAAAATGCCCCCGGTGAATAAATGGTGAAGATGCTGCTGACCATCTAGTATTAGTTCCCTCTATCATCTTTTATGTCACCCACGAGATGATATAGGGTAGTAGATTCTCTTACGCCGTCACTATATGGTGGGATGCCTACACAGTATTCTTCCCCGGTCGATCCAACCTATTCGTGCTGCAACCATAACACATCTGTAGCGTGGTTTTACCACGTATAAAACTTAGTGCTAACATTGCTATATCGTTTGCCGAACCTATCTGTTACGACAAAGCCTCCCTTCTTTGGAGAAGACCTATGATCTGCCAGGATTATCCAGTGTTCAAAATTTAAAAATAAAAGTGTATTTTTATTTCATTGTTGTGCATAATATAACGAATTGTATTTCTCGCCAACTTCGGCTGATCTCGTCATTCAAAATCAAAAGCCTATTAGTTAATACGTATTCAGATACTCGGTCTATACCGAAATGTATTCGTAAAAAAGGTTTTAACCCAAAATGGTGGTAATAGTAACTCTATAGATAACGTGTCACACTCGGCCGAACGACAGTAATCTAGAGTCCAGCATTGCACACTATCTCAGAAACTTTCGAGCTGTGTGTACGTCTCTCGACGATCGATTGTAATACGTATTTTTATAGTGATTTCATACAAGGACATTTAGATTTTACTTAAATATTTATTTAACAGTGTTTAAGTGCTTTAGAATGCAGATCACCAATGCGTTTTATTTTGCGTTGCTAACTGTAAGTATATTTTTTTTTATATAATAAAGGTGCTATTTTATATAGATAATTCATAAAATTTTATAAATATTATTATTTAAGGAATTAATTTTAAATTAACAATTACGTTCTTTTTACGAATTCCGTACCTCAATGTAAGAAAAGAAACTCTTAAAGGATCATTTCGTTGTCCGAATTCCTGTCCGTCTATCAAGACCGGTTTTTTTTTTCAGGAATCTCTACTGATTCCTGAAAAAAACTGGCCATCGGTATCAAGTGCAACTTGATATATTTTTTCTTCTGTTTGTTAAATGATAATTTTAAAACATTTAAATAGATATTTTACAGTATAAACATAAGCTATACAACTTTACCGTATACCGATAATAAGGCCTATGATCCCTTAGAGGTGTGAATAATTCAAGCTTCACACTTCTAAGCGACCATAGGCCTAAGCATAAGTCAACACAAAGTCAAGACAATTAAAATATACGGCCATTTATGTGACATATTTTGAAACCTTATCGAAACCTATAGGGTACTTACCGTGGAACGAGAATGATGAAAGCTTTGGCAAGAAGTAAGGTCTCGCAGCATAAGTAAGGGACAAAATCCGAAAAACGTAAATTAGTATTTTTAGTTATATAACATAAATATATCATATAAAAGAAAATGCCGTTACAAAGTTACATTTACAGATGTACAGTACAGTACAGACCGTGATGTAGACCGACGTATGGGAGAAAGCTTTTCCACTACAAAGTTAAGTTTGTCCTTCAATCCGACTCACCATTTCATTAGAGTTCAGCCGTTTCCGAGAAATCGGCAAACACACGTAAAAAAACATACGCGTCGAGTATAGCACCTACTGTGTAGTGGGGGCGTAATAATGTCTACAACCCCATAAAGACATCCCATGGCTCGCATGGCTGTTAACATCAATGGATTGTAATAAACAAAGTAGTTTTCTCATAGAATAAGGGTAAACGAGCACACAGTCCACCTGATGGTAAGAGAATGCTGTGGCCCATAGACACCTACATCCATAAGATTAAATGCCTCGTTTCCAATAAAAAAGTATTCGATTATCTACACTCACCATATGATACACACTTGTATTAAACTGCTATTTACCGCTGGTATTCTGTGGTCCTTCCCCGGGCGAGCCGACCCATTTGTGCTACAACCAAAATTAAATTGCAGCAAGGATTTAACACGTAGAAAATGTTTCTTTCTTCTTTCTTTCTTCCCAAAATAATATTTATATTAAAAATCATTCAGATTGACGAGTTTAAAAATATCATTTTTAATTAACATAAAATTTAGTACGCCGCTAGTTATGATACAACTATCCTTGTTATATATGGCACCAGCTTTAAAATAAAAAAAGAATCATCGAAATCGGTTCACCGAAAAAGAAGTTATGAGGTAACACACATTAATAAAATACCGTTGAATTTAGTACTCCCTCCTTATTGAAGTCGGTTGGAAAAGGTTAACGAAGTAAGGGTAAATCAGAATATCTATGTACAATAGCTTCGTATAATAGTGCAAGAATTTGAATAAGCACTTCATAATCATTACATCCTATTAAAAGTTCAGCTGGCCATAGGCCTCCCCCAAAGATTTCCATAGTGGGAATTTTGCCATAGTTGCCACGATTGGTAGGCGGCTTGGAAACCGCATTTTTTTATTATTTTCGGTTAGAATCAGGAAGATGCTGCTGGTCATCTTCGGTTTCAGTTTACTTCTCTCGCTTCTTACGTCACTCACTCTTGTCCGGTTTTTATTATTAGATATTCAATACTATTTCATAACTTCATTAAAGGGTTAATTCACTTGTGCATTTACTTTAAGCTATTTCTTCGTAAATATTGCTCTCAGAGTATTTTATTTATACATTTATACAACCGCTTATTATGATATACGTACTAAATTTTCTGTCTATAAAAAAATGATATTTGTAAAACTCGTCACTCTCAATATTTTTTTTAATAAATAGTATTTTAGCAAGAAGTAAATACATAAATAAAATCTATTTTTTGACACCTATATTTTTAAAGGCCAGCCTGGATTCTAGCTTCCCTGCAATCATCTCATTAGTTACATCGGACATCGGTTATAACATAACTCGGAGAATGGATGACTCTATATAACGTGTTCTTGATAAATAGTGTACAGTTAATAACTTCTGTTAAAGCAGACGTTGTCGCAGACACAGACTTAGAATATACTGCCATATCGAAGTCTATTGTCGCAGTAATATAAAATTACTCTGAAGTGCATTCTCATCATACAGTTCACTTCTCAAAAAACGAAAAATATTGTGGACTAATTAACATAGAACATACCTCGTTTCCAGTAAAAAGGACACTGGTTATTTATTAAGCAGCATTAAGCTGTTATTTTACGCTGGTATTCCATGAGAGCGGGGTCTCACCACGGTTGAGCTGATCCATTTGTACTACAGCCATAATATAATTACAGCATTCTCTACCACGTGTAAATATCACGACTTTAGCTCACAAGTCAAATAAATCCAAAAATGTTAATATTTGAACTTAAGATTCTGCTATTTTAAGAATCTTTTAATAAAACGGAATCTTTGACGGAAAAAGTGTTGTAGGGGAGTGTGAATGAAAGTGTTGGAAGGGGTAGACCTAGGCGGTAGTTTCTAGACCAAATCAGGGACGTCTTACCCTAGTAGTACCCTAAACTATAGAGCATTTATGAAAGGAATAATGAAAATGGACTGGAGTTGATGGAATTAAATACTGGTATACTACCACAAGAAATTACTTTAAGGAAAATATTGATAAGTTTCGTAAATGTCTCCGAAATATATCGTGGGAAAAAGAAACTACAGATGACACTTTTAATAATATTTTTAATAAATTTCATGATTTAATTTGTTTATTATATGGCCTCTGCTTTCCATTACAAAAATATTAAATCAAAACAGGCAATCTTGCTCCAAAGTGGATCACAAAAGGTATAAGAGTTGCGACTAAAACTAAAAGAAAACTATAAAATATATATAACTATATAATAAATAATTATGAACACAAAAGATTAGAAAACAAAGTTATTTATAACAAATATTCAAAATTATTAAAAAGATGCGTAACTTGGTCAAAAAAAAAATTTAAACATGCAACACCTGTTACATTCAAAAAGTAAAAGTATTTTCAACAGTGGTAGAGCCTCGTGGCGGCTTTTGCTGTCGCACGGATGGTCCGGCTCGAACCGGGGTGGTACCACGACCTCACAGAATACCAGCGTGAAGTAGAGGTTTACCTCTGCGTTTCGCTTGGTGAGTGCAGGTGGCCGGAGGCCGTTTTTACAGGAAATGAGGCATTCCATATTAGTTCTCACGGGTGACAACGCATCTGCATTTTGATTTGTAATAGAGGATAGATGTAGATGTCTATGGGCTGCAGCAACCACTTACCATCAGGTAGACTGTGTGCTCGTTTGTCACACTTATCCTATATAAAAAAAAAGTAAAGCTACATGGGAAATTATTAAAAATTATGAATATAATGATATACGAAATAATAATATTGACTGGATTAATTGTAAAGGAACTAAAATAGATCATTCTTTCGATATTGCCAGTAAATTTAATGAGTATTTTATTAATGCAGCTGTTCGTGACTCTTCTTCTTTAAATAATAAATCTAAAAGGAATATGTATGAAAATGTTCAATCATCGATCTTTTTAAAACCTTGCCCATTGAATGAAATCATACTTATAATAAACTCTCTTAATAATACTAAATCTGTTGGTTATGATTCTATTACTACACACATACTGAAATCATGTGTAAAGGAAATTGCTCCAATTCTGACATATTTAATAAACTTTTCTTTCATACATGGAAGATTTCCAGATAAATTAAAAAAAATATATAGTCAAACCCTTATTTAAAAAAGATGAACGTCATGAGATTCATAACTACAGGCCAATCACGTTAGTACCCATTCTATCCAAAGTATTTGAAAAAGCCATGCATAGTCGAATTACTAGTTTTGTAGCAAAATATAATATACTCAGAAAAGAACAAAATGGCTTTCAAAAGCAAAAATCTACTACACTTGCTACCTTTTCACTGATACGTCGAATAACTGAATATATTAATAATAGAGTGCCAATAGTAGCCATCTTTATTAATATGTCTAAAGCCTTTGACTGTGTAAAACATAGCACGTTGTTGTACAAATTTGAAAAACTAGGTATCAGAGGACCGGCTTTGGAATGGATCGAAAGCTATTTGACAAATCGGCAACTATGTGTTGAAGTACCAGGTATTAATAATAATCTAGAGTTAACATATTACAGATCTCCTTATCTACAAAATGACTATGGGGTAACTCAAGGGAGTGTTTTAGGGCCTTTATTGTTCATTCTATATATAAATGACTTACCGAGTATAACAAAGCATCATTCCATACTATTTGCTGATAACATATCAATTGTTATACCCTACACTAATAATTCACAGATATATGAACAAGAGATAAATTCCACTATAAAATCAGTTATATCATGGCTAGAAGATAATAATTTACAAGTCATTACTAAAAAACTAAATATATTCAATTTGGAAATTATAAAAAAAAAACACAACAATTAGACTTAACATATGAGGGCGAAAGATTGGTAGAGGTAGAAGATACACAATTCCTAGATGTTGCTATTGACCAGCATGTAAACTGGAAATTACACGTTAATAAGGTATGCAAAAAAATTAATCAATTTGTTTATGCACTACGTAGACTTAAAAATGTAGCAGGTCCGCAAGCAGCGCGTGTTGCTTACTACGGGTACATTGAATCCGTCTTAAGATATGGATTAATCTTGTGGGGCAACTCAACACACGCAAACAGAGCCTTTGTAAGCCAGAAGAAATGTATTCGTGCACTGTGTAACGTAGGCCCTCTACAGAGCTGTAGACCCCTGTTTAAGGAAAAAAATATTCTCACTTTAACTGGGTTATATATATTAGAGACCTGCGTTT